TATTCTTGGGTAAGTCTCACTGTTTTCATAACATTCTATCACCTCACCTCTCTTATGGTCCCAGTTCTCAGACCAGTAAAGGGTGTGGTGATCCACCAGAGACCCCAGCCCCAACAGCACCAGAGACTAAGACAGATGACACTCTTCCTGATGTCCTCCCTCCTCTCTATGATGACATCAATACCCTCACTAGAGAGGTGTTTCTCTTTCAGCTCTCTTTTGTGCATCTAATGGAGCTTTATGTCCACACACAGAAGGACAAGCCACTATCAATGCCTATGTACCATGTTTTGGAGGGTCCCACTCTTGTCGATTCGACACCAGAGACACAGGAACAGGAGGTATGCACACTGTACATTGATTTATCCAGCACCTGTACACAAACTTTCGATCATACATTTTATTAACTTACAATACCACTTTTCACCGCCAGAGTTCAGTGACAGATATTCCACTTTACTCTGTGGTGGAAAAGAGTAAAAAGAAAAAGAAGGCAACTGTGTCGGCTGATCCAGTTAGAGATGTGAGCTAACTAGCTACAGTGTGGTTTAAATGGTTGAATAAGAAGTTTGACGATAAGGCCCATTATCCTATTTGTGCGTAACTCTGTTTTTCTCTAACAGCGTGGCTACAAACCCTGGATTATGATGCTGTGGTGGATTAGAGTAGAATAAAATAAGCAAAGCTTCTGCATTGTGTCTTTTAGTAGTCCATGGCTACTGCACGTGTTTCAAATGTACTAATTTTGCTTTCAACTTGTATATGTAAATGACACATCCAATACTATGCAGCTGCTACATTTTTCTGCTCCATTGTGTGTGTATTTGTGCACAGCAGGAGGAGGAAAGAGAGGAGGATAAGCTTGACGAACACAACACTTAGTGTCAAGTGCGAGTCTTGAATGTGATTGACAACTTCAGTAGTGTGATTGTAATCCAGGCCACAAGGTATCACTTTGTTCATAATCAACTTAATATCATCCACTTCAATTTTAATTTGCTTTGTATTCATCGATCGTAGTTAACTCCAATGTTGTGCGTGTGTGTGTGTGTGTGGGTTTGTATAGCTCTTTCAGTCACGAATTCGGCTTCTGCGCCCGATCGGCGTTTTTCAGCAACTCTCCTGCACACATGCATAATTCTGCCCAAATAGACGCACACCTTTCATCCCACGCACAATCGGCTGTGGCAACTCTTTCTGCCGTTTACAGACCTACGCACAGCCTCTGTGCCTGCTTTCAGCCTGCTGAGACATTTATGACATGTCTCACTCAATCCGGACCTTGTTGCTTTTTAGAGTACTGAAAGGGTAGATGAAAGCAACATCAAAGCTCTGACCGACACATCCAGCCTGCTGAGACATTCAAGTGCCGACTTACCACTTCTGAGGATGCGCGGGTGGTTTTTATGAGATAATGCCGTTATGCCGTCGGCCTACCAGGTCAAAGTTTACAATTGTGCAAGTTTTGTTGACATCTCTAGAAGTGTGTAAATTTACAACATGTTGTGACCGAAAGGGATAGTCTGGTTAGAGGCAATCGTGGGTTACCATAAACACCCTCAAATGTGTATTATAGTAAAGTATAGTGGTGGAAAATAGACTTGCACTATCACTGTGTACAGTAAACTTCTCTATCATCCTGTTGCTGTTCTCACAACACTGTCCTTCTGAGTTTGCACCTACCAAGCCCTTATACAGTATCGTTTACTTTTTCACTGTTTATGCTCCATTAACAATCTCTCACACAGACATGGGAAATTTTCACTTTAGCATGCATAGCACCAGTGCATGTAAGTTTGCTCTACCTAAAAGCCATTGACAGAACAAAGGTGACACCGGCAACTCAACTGTATACATAAGAACAAGTAGTTGTGCGCTATAGAGCATGGCTCGCCATGATCAAACTATTAGAAAAATCTATTTCTGTGAAATGAAAGGGGATGTAGGGATGTAATCATGAAAAAGAAGGGAACAAGATGTCGAGACAGAAAGTCATTCATAACCCCATCACGATACTCTGATATGTTTTCCCAGCACAATGCTATAATAGTCTGGGGGGCTATGCACACAATCGAGCGCAAGCAGCTGCTCGTGCTCGTGGGGTGTGGCAATGCCAATGCCTGAATTCCCTATAGGAAAGCAAGTGGGGTGTTGTGTGTGGGGGGGGATAGGTAAAATAGGTGAGCACCTGCATTGAACAAGTGGTAGCCCAGAGGTCACGGCATATCAGAGCTAATTCTGTATGACGTTTGGCTCAATCGACTGCTGCACAAGTGCTCATGTACTTTGTGGTTAGTGCAGTAGGATACTAATGCACACTGGTGCACTTTGCGTGTTTGTTCTTGCCGCCTTGTGTAATAACACTCAGCAGAGCTAATTCTGTATGACGTTTGGCTCAATCGACTGCTGCACAAGTGCTCATGTACTTTGTGGTAGTGCAGTAGGATACTAATGCACACTGGTGCACTTTGCGTGTTTGTTCTTGCCGCCTTGTGTAATAACACTTCAGCAGTTGTGTACATACACAGCTTTTTACACTAATGCACATGTGACTTTGCATCATCACCGCGTCTAATATTCATCACTTCAACGTGGAGCCTGTGATACTGTGTATTATGATGTCATATCGACTTATAGCGTAAAGAGTTGGGGAGTGTCATTTCGCGCATGCGCAGAATCGCAGCTAGTCTGCGTCGTATATTGATAGGCGTGTCACCAGCTTGACTCAGAGTGTCATTTGATAAAATGGAGGATCATGGACAAAAACTGGGAGCAGGATTCAACATGGACTGCATTTCTGATGTACACATACAAATACTTACCATCACTGCAAAAAGATTGCATGATCACAGCAATAGCATTCACATTTTTATCTGCAGCTGTAGATCTAGATATGAGGGAAACTGCTGTGTAGTGCAAGAATAGCATATGTCCACTATCACCAATCTTTCTTTCAGACGATCTTATTTGCCAGCGAAGCGAGCCAGCCTACCTACCTAGGCGTCTAAGGATTACCATTATAATTATAATATCCGGGCGAGCGCGCGGCGATACGGACACATACCGGATGTCTATATACGCGCTTCTAAATACACGCAAAAACGTGGGAAATATTGCACTGCTAGCAAACTAGCACCGCGTGACCGCAATACGCGCGTAAAACGCTCAAAACTACTCGCACCGCGCGTAATACGCGCGCGAAATAGTGACCTGCTCGCGCTCGCTCGCCAATAAAGATCGTCTGAAGGAGTAATATGCTAAAAAGGTTGGTGATAGTGGACATATGCTACTAGACAGCTCCTTCACACTCTCCTATCTAGATCTATACAGCTGCAGTAACTGCAGCTGTATAGATCTAGATAGGAGAGTGTGAAGGATCGCATGAGAACACAGATTCACTAGTTGTATATAGGTATTAGAGAGTCGGTAGACTCTCTCTATATAGGGATGACGCGGGTGAAATCTCACGTGATCCGCGTAAAAAACGAAACTCGGGGAGAATCACTCCCTAGGCCTTGAAAACATACTAGCAATAGTCTACGGGCCCATATCTACCTATACATGTCCCCCAAGACCTCATACGCACCTTCAGTCGTCCACGCGAGAATTCGCTCATACGCGATTTCACGATATCATATTCTTCTTCTACCCGCTATCTCCTTACTAGTACCAGTTCAAGCACTGATTTTTTCACTGAAGGTCTCCAATTTCGTCGGAGGTGTGCATGGACATCAAGCGATCGTTTCTTTCTTGCCGCAAGTCACTACGGTAGATCATAGAGCTCTTCAAATGGTCGACGCTGAAGAACGCCATTTGCTGCTAACTCAGCACCAGTGAGCCGCGCGCATGCGCCAGACAGGGGCGTTGTCCAATATGCGCTTGCGAGCGTATTCTACCAGGCGAGTTGGCAGAGGAACTCTCAGCCTCTAGCACCTTCTGTAAGTAAGTGTGCACATTTCCAACTGGCTAGCTTGCTGTTGGTTTGCACGAAGAGCAACTTGCCAGAGTCTGCGCTGTGTTACGCGAGCCGCGGGCGCTCAGTCAAATGGGTCTTCATTGTTTGTCCTCCCCAGGTTGTAGCCTGATTACCAAACTCTGCCCATGAAACCACAACCATGTGCAATAATCTAATTACGTCCTTGTTGAAGACAAAACATGAGGTGAATGCGGTATCTAGCCCCTGCTTCAGGCCTATTAGCTACTACATTCAACAGCACCAAAAAGGAAGAAACAAGGGGTCATTACACAGCAAAGTTGCACAAACCTACATGACACCATCCCTATATCTTTGTTTTATTGTTTATAAGCAAAGTTTGGTGCCATGTAGCTTTGTGCAACTTTGCTGTGTAATGACCCCTTGTTTCTTCCTTTTTGGTGCTTCAAGCCATCCCTATAATTATCCCCCTTTCATTTTGAAGAAATAATATTTCCACTTGTACTAATTAAAGTGCAAACCCTCGGCGAACTGCGCATGCGCGGTACCGCTAATGGATGGGCTGGGCTGGGCTATTGGCGCATATCAATTTTACGCCACCCCCCCCTTCTCACTCCTGCGCAGGGGGATAATTGGGGAATTTACTCGGAAAACTTGCCCCACGTAAGGAGAGTTGACATTTCCCGTATACTCCGTCACACGCAATAGTTTACAAAGGGCTCTCGTACAGTACAACGTGTACAGCCGGGTTGTTTGCTTTACCGGAGGAAGGTTACCTGCTCTCATTACCGGAAAAAAGTCGCATATTTTCCGACGTTCTGCCGCCCGTTCCCGACCTAATCGTGCCCACCCTCTGAAAAAGAGTCATACCTCTGTACAAAATGTCGATATTGAGATTGTAGAGTTGAGACAGTTCAGACATGATTCCAGGTTTTTATGCACTTCCTGTGTGTACAAATTGCAGATTGTTCAAATCCCCATGTTTTCCCATTAATAAAGGATTTGACAAACAGGAGTGACCCCATATTAGGGCATTTGATTATTAAGCATGTCAAATCCCAACCAGTACTCCCAATTTGCCCAAGAAGGGGAGGGTGGGGCCTACTATTGATAAAGCGCATTACTCGCGGTCTCCCGCTAGTAGCTCGCAGAGAGTCTGACACGGGCTAGCTACAGTAGTAGAGAGTCGAAACACACCCTTCGCTGTGGCTTCTTGTGCCTCCAAGGTACACAGAGCAAGCGGATCAGGTCGAGGTGAGGCGTCTAATACACGCATGCGCACCGCTTATTGATGGGTTGGGCCACGCAACGCTGTCCGCGACCGTGCCAGTTTGTCGCTCTCGAACACAGTCGTTTCAGCAAAATTGCCATTTTAGTTTTTCTAGTCCAAGTACCGCTGAAGCTGTTGGTATCACTCATAAGCCGCCTCGTAGCCTGTAGTGCGAGAATAGTCGTGGACAGACAGACACACAGACAGACAGACGCACAGAACGACTACAGTAACCCTCGCTGCGCATGCACGCCGAGGGTTAATAGGAACAGTTGTACTCCTGGCTAGGCCTAGATACATTTTGCTAGCATAATTTATAGCAAAATAGGTAGCTTTAAGGCATTGGGCACTATTCGAGAAAAATAGGTGAGCATCTGGCATTGCGCATGCGCAGCCGTCCTCTGCGGCAGCTGAGCATGTGTTTTCTATTCTCTCTAACTCAAAGCAAGAATCCTCATTGGAAGATTATACAGAAATTTATGTCATTCTACAGTATAATAATCGTAGTAGTAACTGAATAATTATTTTCATTGTGTAATGTTTGGTTCTTTGCTCATCGATCTCCTTTTAAGTGAAGAATAATAGGGAACTTCGTGAGAAAAATAAGTGAAAGCGAAAGCAAAATAGGTTGAAATTATGAGCATAAAAGAAAAGAAAAATAGGTAAAATTAATAGCAAACTTTAGTCAGGCCTACTCCTGGCTCCCTGTGTTGTAATTCCTCACCCCTTTTAGCTATTTTTCACCACTCATCTCTACCTCCCACTATTGTATATACCTCACTCAAAGGGCCACCATATGCCATGCCCACAGTTGTTAATAGCATCTTCCTCTTCTTCACTACAACTACCTATTACTCACCTCCCATCCACCCCCACTTTTCCACCAGTTTCTCCTCCTCACCCTTTGTATAAAAGAGCCAGCTACTCAGCCCTCGGGAGGTTGTGTGTAAAATAATAATTTTGCTACCTACCAACCCCAAGACCTCTCTTCGCCGCTACGGCCACGCTCTACCACAGAGGGAAACTATAACTGCAGCTGTAGATATCTAGATAGGAGGGAAACTATAACTCTCTAAATTTCAAGCAGTCATATATAGAATGAATCCGAAAACTTACAGAAGTAACCAAAACGATAAGATAAAAGCCTGGCAATTACAGGACAGTACAGATATTCCAGCTATGCTCGCCTCACACCATCCTTCTTTCACTACCATTTTCTTCACGTAATGTGTAGTCGACATAAATTATGCAGACCTTCGTAAATCGTGACATTAAAGATTAACGAGAGAGAGTAGCAAACAAGCATAAAAGCACAGTTTTAAAGGTTGTTATGAAAGTTTTTAGTATGTCCGTAAGCTTCGTTGGTGTTCAGTTCAATGGGAGGTGTCTTCTCCAAGGGAATGTCCTCATAAACAGGAGGTATCTCAGTCTGGCCTCTCTTCCCCTTCCTATGACAGTGACCATGACATTGAGTCAGTAGAACACCAAGTAGCAGTCCAGCAGTGAAGCTACACACTACACACACTACTCCTGTTGTGGCCACTGCTTCTGCTGTACTCAGTTTTTCACTTGAATCGGTGTTGGTTTGATCTATATTTTGGGGGAGATAGTCATAAAAAGAGGGAGCAGTACGTACATAGTTGCTTTAGTATACCTTCTGGTTTTTGTACACACATGACATCATCACTACTAGGCAGCCATGTTAGAGAAGGGAGAGAGCATGTGGCCACAGTCTCTCCCACCAGAACCAGGTGGGTGTCACAGGAGTAGGTGACCTGTGCTCCTACTCTGGAACTGGTCCACTCACCAACACTGCCATTCACTGGTGGACTGGGAGGACCACAGCCAGCTGAGGGAGAGAGCCAATGGAATAGTTCATCTCTTCACTAAGTGAGACAACTTGCCAACAAAGACTTCCTCAGTGACCTCTGCACTAGTGCCTGCACAGTTGATGGCTGAGACTCTGATTTCCAGAGGAATGTTGTACACTCCCTCTAGAACTACAGTTGTATTGGTAGTGGTGATGGACTGTGTAGTGGTGTTGGTCAGTATTCTGTACTCATCAACCACTTCATCTTCCCCTGACTCCCAGGAGATGATGATGGAGAAGTTCTATGGTCGGAAATTCTCCGTCCTCACAATCATGTCTTACATGGAGGAGATGGTGCTCTGTGACTCTGTTTATACAAGTGGAAAAATCATTTCTTCAAAATAAATGGGGTATAGGGATGGCTTGAAGCACCAAAAAGGAAGAAACAAGGGGTCATTATACACAGCAAAGATGCACAAAGCTACATGACACAATCCCTATATCTTGGTTCGAAATATTAAACTTTCCTTATGAACAATAAAACAAAGATATATGGATGGTGTCATGTAGCTTTGTGCATCTTTGCAGTGTGACCCCTTGTTTCTTCCTTCTTGGTGCTTCAAGCCATCCCTATATCCCCCTTCATTTTGAAGAAATGATTTTTTTCACTTGTTTCCACTATTTTTTAACAGCTTATGACAACACTGCATTTTATTAATAGTCCCACCTACTCCTTCTGGAAGGTTGAGACTGTGAGCTAGGCCCACATTCGGGAGCAAAGCGGTGGAAAACCCAGGCGAGGAAAACCAGCGGCCACACGGAACGCACAGCGCGGGGTGTCTGCTCAAACGCGCCGCGGCGCGTGCAGTGGGTGTGTGGGGTTGCGAGAACCGCGTGAAAATGGCGTCGTTTTCTGTCTGCTATAGTGCCTGCCGGGAATCTGTCTTGGCGATAGGCGGCAAGAAACAAAGATCGCTTTACGATGATGCACACCTCCAGCATCGCGGGACACGTTTAGTGAGAAAATTAGCGCATCAACTGGTTCCAGTAAGGAGAAAGCGGGTCTAAAGAAGAAGAAGAAGAATAATATTATGATGAACGAAGTTCGTGAAATCGCGTATGAGCGACTTCTCGCGTGGAGAACTGAAGGTGCGTATGAAACTTTTGGGCATTATATAGGTAGATATGGACCCGTGACTGATGTCTGGTGTGTTTTAAGGCATAGCTAGCCATTCTCGCCGATTTTGTACGCGGATCACGTGAGATTTCACTCGTGCCATCCCTACATAGAACAGAGCGTCTACCGACGCTCTGATAAGTAAAACAGTAGTGTACGGGTGCTACACATTCTTGAGACCCAAAACCCATAATTGTTGCAGGCATGAGACCTCAGTGTTATTCCAAGAATTTTCTCACGAAAACATGCCCTCAGATGACACACATTCAGAAACTAGTTTATGTTGCCCTTTGAAAAGCATTAAGATTCCCCCAAAGGAGTCTAACACAACAAGCAACAAACACAAGGACATGTCAATGTAATGTTTCACTCAAGGCATTCTCTAAATTTTGCACTATTGTTTTGTTTGGGAACAGCAGAAGCAGTGGTCACAACAGGAAGTAGTGTGTGTAGTGTGTAGCCTCACTGCCTATTCACTGCTGGACTGCTACTTGGTGTGCTACTGACTCAATGTCATGGTCACTGTCATAGGAAGGGGAGGAGAGGCCAGACTGAGATACCTCCTGTTTATGAAGACATTCCCTTGGAGAAGACACCTCCCATTGAACTCACACAAACAATGTTTAGTTAAAACCGATAAGCAATCACAAACAATAGCTAGTAGCACACAGGGGATCAAGCAAGGTTCATTGGTTTGGAGTGGTGTGTCCATAAGCAGGGTTGTGTTGTGTGGTGGTGGGTAGAGAGTGAGAGACTCCATAAGCCACGTTCTCACTGGTGTCTGGACCAGTGGGTGTCACCACATCACTCACTGTCTCATACACCACTGCTGGAGGTCGAGACTCACGAACCACACTGTGGTGTGTGTTGAGGGAGGAAATGTGATACAATAACAGAGAGTGAAAGTTACTGTAAACATGTATGTTTTGCCCACTCTACAAGAAAAATGTATATCTTTAACCTTGGATTTGCAAACAGGAGCATATTCGCTAAAGGGCAACATCTACACAGCACGAGCTTGTTGCATAAGACAAAATGCTCATGCTACTTCACTCTATGGGTATGATGGGTTCATGAAACATGTTGCAAATAGTCTGAAACATGTTGCCTGGACCCATCATACCTGTACAACAGTTATGTGGCCTTTTAACCCTTTGGACGCCATGGGGATCTGCTTAAATAAGCATAAATTGATGTATTAGTGCCTAGTATTATAACCCCCCATACAAATTCTAATGGACTTATGGAGGCTCTAGACACATTTATGTGTCCGTGGCTGGTTAAGTGTTAAGCTATACACATAATTATTTTAATGCAAGTGTGACAGGTGTCAGAGCCTTATTAACTAACTGTGGTCTATCTGTTGAGTTGCAAGCTATGGTCTTGGGATGGATTCAAGAAAAAAAGAGTGTCATTCTCTGGCAAAGAGCAATCCCACTGACAATAATACGTAAATGAGTACAGTATGACACACAGACATACTTTGTTGCACTCAGCTCTGTGTCTCTGTTGGAGGTTCCTATATACAGGGTTCATAGTCACATCAAAACATTGTTAGTTTCATTATACCGTACCTTTGGAAGCTCTCTTCCTCATGATAACCAACAACACAGTGACTGTCCCGACTATCCCAGAAATAAGTCCAACTACCACTCCTCCAGCCACACCTACACCAACTGCCGTGTATGAGGTCGATGAACACTCCTCCACAACAGGGCATGTGAATTCAAAACCCATCTGTGAGAAATCATCTTTCTTAGTTATGCACAGAATGTAGGAGGTGGCTGTGTCGTTGCCCTTGCCAAGTAGTCACCACCTCCTACATCAGCTGCTATTTCTTAATACATTGGTTTTATATACAATCTCGATGCACACTATTTAACATCCGCACTCACACCTACATCACCTATTATGTACAGAATCTCACATCACACTCTGTCACTCTATATATGACTTAGACTAACCAGGGGTTGGGACTGGAGTTGTTTCACTTGCAGTTAGACATCTTTTTCTGTTAACTATATAGAGTGGGGTCATTATTGACACTTTGTAACATACTAAGTCTTACGTGTAATGGTAGTGGTTTTGTTACAGACAGCACTAGAGAATGTCACAGCAATTTCCACTGGTCCAGTCTCAGAGTAGTCTAATGTCAGTAGATGAGAGTCTTCAGAACTACCTCTCTCATAGTGTCTGGCTCCACTGCTGTGGACCCCACCCCAACTGATGGTTGTGTTTACTGCGGTCATGTTATGGCTGCTCTGAATATATGAGTCATGCCTGTTTGATTATACTTCTGTTATCATTAACTACCTTCCAGGTGACATTAATACGACCACATTCCTCTTCAACAGCTCTTACATTCTCTGGAATTGACAAATCTGTAAAAGAGGGTGTTTTATTTAGCTAACAAGTTTGACTCAGATGCTTACAGCAGTCAGTGGCAATGTCTCCGTTGTAGACAAAACTATCATTGACACGAGTAACACCATGGACAGTGAAGTTATAGTCATTGACGTTGCCATCACCGAGATAAATACTGCAGTTTCTATCACTACCATCACTAGTGGCATTACAAGAGACATTCCTCTCTCCACTGACAGCAGTGACCACATAATAGTCCACACATTCTCCACCATACACTGGAGACTGGAAACTGACCACAGCTGATGGTGAGTCCCACACCACTGACAGACTAGTGGGAGGGGAGGCTGGACCTTTGCGAATTGATCACAGGAAAAATGTCAGACATAGCCAATGTACGTATATACCTGCTATACATATTTTGGTAGTGTTAGTCAATCTCAGTCTACTGATTTGAACAAAGTAAATACCCTCACAAGTGATGTCAGTCTCATTCAAATTCAAGTTGCTGACATGTAGAACTGATGTAAAGTTGCCTAGATTTCTTACAAAACGTATTTGGAAGCCACCTTCTTCAATATAAAGTGTGTCCTCATCGTTTATTACAGACAATCCAGTCCCATTGATTGTAACTGTTCGCCATACAATTCCTACTCCAGAGGTCACCTCGCATATATAATCCTCATTGGGGCACAGGCAGCGTTGTGGTGGGAGTAGTAGCGGCAGGTTATCTGAAAAAACGTGTGAAGTCAGGGATGTGTATCATGTATCACTGAGCTAGCTTACCAGTCCCAGAGATGATAGGCACTGTGAGAACTGCCTGCGAAAAAAACACTACCCAAACATTGCAGCGGACCATCACTATTCGCTCACGCTGAGAGAGCACCCGGCGTGCCATACGGCCGAGGCGTTTTTTTCCACGGGCACGCGCTGGGGACGTATAATCAAGCTTGCGAGTAGTCACGCGCGTTCCATACATGCCAATGCTCATAAGCGTTGTATTGGAAGTATGCGATAGTGGAAATGTTAAACATCGGGAGCGACCCAACTTGGGATTTGCCCACGACGTTCGGGCTGCATAACGTGCCGTCAGCGCACAGCTTTCCTTTCGTGAAGCAAGACAGATTTACCTGTCGCCGTTACATGCGTATATACTGTATATTGCCAGAACGGTGAGCAGGTGAGCTGAACCGCTTTCAGCTCGTCAGTCGTGGACCACCAGGCAGGAGAGTTCTGTCGCTGGCTAGATCGATCGGCACATATCGCGAGGCACCGAGTGTGAAAATGTGTAACAATTAAATTTTGGAAATAACTTCGGATAAATTATTAACCCTCGGCGCGCATGCGCAGCGAGGGTTACTGTAGTTGGGTGTTTGTCTGTCTGTCTGTCTGTTTGTTACTCTCAATCTCACTTCTCGAGTGTTCGTTCGTCTCACAAAGGATACCACCTACTTATCGGGCAATGAAGGTCAGATTTTCGAACGGTTTTCTCTGAAAATGCTCCGTTGCAAAGCTAGAGCGCTTCCAGCATTGTATGGGTAGTCGCCATTTTTATCGCTGGCTGTTAATGCGCATGCGGTTATATTTACCTCCACCGGGTCCGCTTGCTCTGTCTATCTTGAAGGTACAAGAAGTCACAACGAATGGCGTGAATCGACTACTGTAGCTAGCCCGTGTCAGACTCACTGCGAGCTACTTCGCCGAGGGTTTGCACTTTAGTGCTTTTCATTGGGTCTGTCTGTCAGTCTGTTACTCTTCATCTCACTTCTCGAGTGTTCTTTCGTCTCACAAAGGATAGCTACCACCTACTGAACGGACAATGAAGGTCAGAAATTTCGAACGGTTTTCTCTGAAAACGCTCCGTTGCAAAGCTAGAGCGCGCTGAGCAACACAATGGCTGAATGAGAATTGCGGGGTAAGTTCCAGAGTTTAATGTATTCAAAGCGACTTCAATAACCCTGATGGAGGACGACGAGAGTGACCATAAAGAGCAGCCATACAAAGATAGGCGCTTTTTCTTCTAATCGTTTTTGTGCTGTCAAATTCTGTGATTCTACTGGTTTTACCTACTTGTTGATCAGTATCTACCTGCCTGCTGACTCTGGTCCTTCTTCTTACACTGAATACTTAAACTTTGGGAGAATTGGAGGGATTCATTGATTGCAATCACTGTGATGATGTTTTTCGTTGTTGGTGATTTTAATGTTGATTTTGATCGTTCTAGTCCTCGTTCCAAATTGTTGTGTGAGTTTATGTCTAATCTTGGTCTGTTTTGTTGTGATCTTTCTTTCCGTGATGAGGATGCTCTCAGCCTTCATGTTTTTTAGTATTAGATGTACATGCAATTCATTCTGGTTGTATTTTATCTGACCACTTCCCACTACTTTTCTCAATGAAAAGCACTGAAGTGCAAACCCTCGGGGCACTGTGACGCGCACGCGTAAGTAAACGCATGCGCAGCACCACTAATTGGTGGGCTGGGTTTAGTTTAAGCTGTTACTCGATCGTGGTCTCTTGCCAGCTCGCGCAAAGTCTGACGCGGGCTAACTACACTACTAGATAGCATGCGAGAGGCGATACACACCCTGCGTTGCATCTTCTGGTGCTTCAGAGGTATATACGTGGATCGACCACGCCCGTAGTGTATTTGCATATTGGCTTTTTCCCGCTCTAGCTTTGCAACGGAGCGTTTTCAGGGAAAACCATTCGAAATTTCTGACCTTCATTGCCCGTTCAGTACGTGGTATCCTTTGTGAGGCGAATGAACACTCGAGGAGTGAGATGACGAGTAACAGACAGACACACACACAGACAGACAGACCCAATGAAAAGCACTAAAGTGTAAACCCTCGGCGAAGTAGCTCGCAGAGAGTCTGACACGGGCCAGCTACATTAGTAGATAGCACGCGAGAGTCGATACACGCCATTCGTTGTGACTTCTTGTGCCTTCAAGATAGAAGGAGCAAGCGGACCCGGTCCTTTGCTAAATATAAGCGCATGCGCATTATCCGCCAGCGATAAAATGGCGACTACCGGCATTAGCCATACAATGTGGAAGCGCTCTAGCTTTGCAACGGAGCATTTTCAGAGAAAACCGTTCGAAATTTCTGACCTTCATTGCCCGTTAAGTAGGTCGTATCGTTTGTGAGACGAACAGACATTCGAGAAGTGAGATTGAGAGTAACAGACAGACAGACAAACCCCCAACTACAGTACCCTCGCTGCGCATGCGCGCCGAGGGTAATGAAAAGCACTAAAGTGCAAACCCAGAGAGTCTGACACGGGCTAGTTACAGTAGTAGATAGCACGCAAGAGTCGATACACGCCATTCGTTGTGACGTCTTGTGCTTTCAAGATAGACAGAGCAAGCGGACCCGGTGGAGGTAAATATAAGCGCATGCGCATTATCCGCCAGCGATAAAATGGCGACTACCGGCATTAGCCATACAATGCTAGAAGCGCTCTAGCTTTGCAACGGAGCACTTTCAGAGAAGGCTTTTTAGGGCCACAAATACCATCGTAGAAAACTTCAAAACTTCCGTTGTAAAGACTTCCATTCTAGTAACTTCCGTTCTAACCCTCACTGCAATCTAGCTAGCTAGCTAGCTATAAAAGTTCTAGCTAGCGGGATAGCTGAGGTAGTGTTGTGGCGTCATGAAAGCTGCCATTAATCTGTTCGCCTCGGCATGATTCATGGGTTAAAGGTTTCATCCATCTTTTTGGTCGCCATCCCAAAGGCTACACGATGAAAACTTAATGTACACTTGTAGCTCAATGTTCCTTAAGTTAGATAGTGCTGTGTTGGTCCTGAGATCTACCTGTTGGGACAAGGTTTCAGAATGTTGTTTCTAGTATTTCCAAGTTCCATTTTGAGCTCACTTCCATTCTGAACCAACTTCCAAGTTCAATTCTGTTCAATTTTAAGCTAAGCTGAAACACCTTGTTTGCTCCAGAGAACTTAGAGGGAAAACTTTTTTTATTCTGCTAATGCTGTTTGTGGTACACAAACAAGGACCCCCATGCCTTTGTCTGAAGTCACAGTATATTATTGTTAGCCATAATATTATGCCACCAAAAGCCAATCCGGTGGAGTTTTCCCAACATCAATGAACATGAAGTCAGTGATCTGTACTGTCGGTTTTTGCAACACTAGAGATATTCAGTGCATCTTTACAGTACTAGCCTCGTTCCCAGGCTCTCTCTCCACTCTCTGCGAACCATGTATGACCTTTAACCCATGAATCGTGCCGAGGCGAACAGAGTAATGAGAGCATTCATGACGCCGCAACACTACCTCAGCTATCCCGCAAGCTAGAACTTTTAGCTAGCTTTTTAGCAGTGAGGGTTAGAACGGAAGCTACTAGAATGGAAGTCTTTACAACGGAAGTTTTGAAGTTTTCTACGATGGTATTTGTGGCCCTAAAAAGCCACCGTAGAAAACCCGTTCGAAAATTCTGACCTTCATTGCCCGTTAATTAATACGCGCGACTGTACTTTGACCCCTGTGACCTGTTGACGACCAGGCTGACTGCATCAGATTCTGACTGTCGGACCATTTGCGATCGAGAACATTTTGACTTGAGGGTCAACAAAGTGAAAAGAATATAGAAGCGAGTTTGCTTATAACCCTTGACAGCCCTCATTATATCTTCAGTATCGTCCAAAGTGAGATGACCCAGATGTACAACCTTATCAGAGTATATAGGATAACTTAGTTCCATTGAGGTAGATGGTCGGAGTGATCGGACGGACTGATGGGGCATTACCGTAGCTAGTCCGTGTCAGACTCTCCGCGACCTACTAGCGGGAGACCGCATACTAGGAATGCGCACGCGCATAATTATTTTGCTGCCAGCGCGTAAACAGTCCGGCTTCCTATATAGCGCACGGCGGAAGCTAGACTTCCTACGAATGACGGAAGTTTACATTCCTAAGCGTGACTAATTGACATGTGTAAAAATTTGGAAATAATTTCGGAGCGCGTATATACAAAAAGCCGCGCATGCACACTTGGCGTAGAAAATTCCGCTCGAACGAACGGCTCGCTCCCGCGCGCGGCGCCCGCTCGCCAATTTAGTACCGCGCGTGCGCCGCAGTTCGCCGACTTTCATTAAAGGTTCAAAGGTTTTAATGCACTGCAAGCCAAACAAGAATAGGCATGGCATGTTTTACAATTACTTGTAATGTCTAGCATACATGAAAATATCAGAAGTAGCGGATGAAAGAGAGTTGATAATCTGGTCTGGGTCTGAGAGAGGCGTGTGAGAGAGAGTATAGTGATGAAAGTAAGAAACATCCATTGTGGCACCACAGAGATGGCAGATGCCTGGCTGAAACTGTGGCCTGGTCAATTCGCGATAAAGGGCCTGTAGAGAGTCAGTACCACGAGGTCCGTAATCAAGTGCCATGTCCCACAGCTTCATCCAAGATGTATCAGCAGCTATTCCTGATGCAATCGCTGTACTGTTGTGACGGCTGACCTCGGTGGTGCAGGCCTCCCAATCTGCCTGTAATACTTCTCGCTTTATTTCTCTTAGAGTTGACTGGGCACTGAGCATGGCATTGGTAGAGCCCTGACAGGCGAGCTTACCCTCCATAGTTCTACATTCCTTCACGAGCCTGAGAGAATCTTGTGGTGAGCTTGAAAATATTTGGCTCCAATGCTATTCCGTCGTCAGACACCTTTGATAGAAGACTCAGTTTACGAACAAACATTCTCGCTGTTACTGAAGGTCACCTGAGAGCCAAACGAGTAGAAAGTGTAGAGTGATACTTCGACAGTTTCAATATGCGACGACCAATTTCCCCCTGAAATGATTCCAGCATCGAATCTGTCAGCATCCAGTTCTCACAGCCGAACAGCAGTACGGAAACTACACAGGCCTCATAGATGCTTCTCGCTGATAACGGATCCAACTGTGCATGAAATGCCCCTATAGCTCCAAAGGCAAAGAAAGCTCGTCTTGCTTTCTTGATGGCTTCATCGACAGCTTTGCGCAGCGAGGGTTACAGTAGTTGGGTCTGTCTGTCTGTTACTCTCAATCTCACCTCTCGGATGTCTGTTCGTCTCACAAACGATGCGATGTACTCAACGGGCAATGAAGGTCAGAAAGTTCGAAAGGTGTTCTCTGAAAACGCTCCGTTGCAAAGCTAGAGCGGCTCTACATTTTTATCGCTGCGGAAAAGCGCATGCGCTTATATTTAGCACAGGCGCTTGCTCTGTGTATCTTGAAGGCACAAGAAGTCACAACGAAGGGCGTGTATAGACTCTCGCATGCTATCTACTACTGTAGCTAGCCCGTGTCCGACTCTCTGCGAGGTATATACCAGCGGGAGACAACGAATAAACGCATACATAGGCAATAGCCCAGCCCCATCAATAGCAGTATCGCGCACGCGCAGTTCGCCGAGGGTTTGCACTTTAGTGCTTTTCGCTTAGACGTACGTAGGCCGCCATTACTAACTCCGCAAGAGTAGACCTCGGCAGCTTCAAGAATAGTGATGGTCCGCCGCAATGTTTGGGTAGTGTTTTTTTCGCAGGCAGTTCTCACAGTGCCTATCATCTCTGGGACTGGTAAGCTAGCTCAGTGATACATGATACACATCCCCCTGACTTCACGCTCTCAGATAACCTGCCGCTACTACTCCCATCAAAACGCTGCCTGTGCCCCAAAGAGGATTATATATGCGAGGTGACCTCTGGAGTAGGAATTGTATGGCGAACAGTTACAATCAATGAGACTGGATTGTCTGTAATAAACGATGAGGACACACTTTATATTGAAGAAGGTGGCTTCCAAATACGTTTTGTAAGAAATCTAGGCAACTTTACATCAGTTCTACATGTCAGCAACTTGAATTTGAATGAGACTGACATCACTTGTGAGGGTGTTTACTTTGATCAAATCAGTAGACTGAGATTGACTAACACTACCAAAATATGTATAGCAGGTATATACGTACTTTGTCTATGTCTGACATTTTTCCTGTGATCAAATAATTATTGTTCGCAAAGGTCCAGCCTCCCCTCCCACTAGTCTGTCAGTGGTGTGGGACCCACCATCAGCTGTGGTCAGTTTCCAGTCTCCAGTGTATGGTGGAGAATGTGCGGACTATTATGTGGTCACTGCTATCAGTGAAGAGAGGACTGTACTGTGTAATGCCACCAGTCATGCTAGTGAAAGAAACTGCAGTATTGATATCGGGGATGGCAATGTCAATGACTATAATTTCACTGTTCATGGTGTGACTCGTGTCAATGATAGTTTTGTCTACAACGGAGAAACTGCCACTGATTGCTGTAAGTATCTGAGTCAAAAGTTGACTGAAAACAAACAATAATCTTTTTACAGGTTTACCATTTCCAGAGAATGTAAGAGCTGTTGAAGAGGAATGTGGTCACATTACTGTCGGCTGGAAGGTTACTGAATGTAGAAGTAGAGACGCATACTTTAAATAATCCTTTCCAGAGCAATCACGTCATAGAACCAGTGAACACAACCATCAGTTGGCGTGGGGTCCACAGCAGTGGAGCCAGGCACTATGAGAGAGGTAGTTCTGAAGACTCTCATCTACTGACATACTTCTCTGAGACTGGACCAGTGGAAATTGCTGTGACATTCTCTAGTGCTGTCTGTAACAAAACCACTACCATTACACACTCCCTCAGTAAGACTTAGTATGTTACAAAGTGTCAATAATGACCCCACTCCCTATACTAGTAAACAGAAAAAGCTGTCTAACTGCAAGTAAAACAACTCCAACCCCAACCCCTGGTTAGTCTTAAGTCATAGAGTGACAGAGTGTGATGTGAGATTGTGTGTAAATAGGTGTGACTCAGACTGAGACTCTTAAACCGACTGCAGACCCATACCTAGCAATCGGCGTAGGAGTTGGTGCGGCTCTCCTGGTGGTGGTGACTACTACAGTGGCTGTGGCAGTGTGGTGTCTTGTGAAGAAAAACAGGCCTAATAGTGGTACGTACAATATTTACATGGACTAAAGTGAGGTGATGTATATTCTGTACATAGAGTCTGTTCCCTCCAGCTGTGGTGATGAACTGAAAATTCTTGGGTAAGTCTCACTGTTTTCATAACATTCTATCACCTCACCTCTCTTATGGTCCCAGTTCTCAGACCAGTAAAGGGTGTGGTGACCCACCAGAGACCCCAGCCCCAACAGCACCAGAGACTGAGACAGATAACACTCGTCCTGATGTCCTCCCTCCTCTCTATGATGACATCAATACCCTCACTAGAGAGGTGTTTCTCTTTTTAGCTCTCTTTTGCTCATCTAATGGAACTGTATGTCCACACACAGAAGAAGGACAAGCCACTATCAATGCCTATGTACCATGTTTTGGAGGGTCCCACTCTTGTCGAGTCAGCACCAGAGACACAGGAACAGGAGGTATGCACACAGTACATTGATTCATCCAGCACCTGTACACAAACTTTCAATCGTACATTTTATTAACTTACAATACCACCTTTCACCGCCAGAGTTCAGCGACAGATATTCCACTTTACTCTGTGGTGGACAAGAGTAAAAAGAAAAAGAAGGCTACTGTGCCGGCTGATCCAGTTAGAGATGTGAGCTACTTTGGCTAAAATGAGGGCATCTATAGTCGTAGTAGAAATTTGGGGCGTAAGGTCCATATTGCCTTCATTATAATTATATACCTATTTTGATATAACTCTATTTTTCTTTTTATTTCCTAACAGTGTAGCTACGAACCCTAGATTATCCTCAATATTGGTCAGGGTAGAATAAAATAAACAAGGCTTCTGCATTGTGTCTTTTAAGTCAAAAGCAGTCCATGGCTACTGCACATGTTTCAAATGTATATGTACAAATGACACATTCGACATGAACCAATACTATTCAGCTGCTACATTTTCCTGCTCCATTGTGTGTGTTATGTGTGCACAGCAGGAGGAGGAAAGAGAGGAAGATATGCCTGACAAACAAGACACTTAGTGTAATGTGAGAGTCTTCCACATGATTTACAACTTTGTAATCCCAGTCACAAGGTATCATCAACTGAACATCATCCGCTCCATTTTTATTTGTATCGATTATAGATAGTTCAACTCCACTGGTGTGTGTGTGTGTGTGTGTGTGTGTAGTCTGGTTAGAGACAATCATGTGTACCTTGATCACGTCAGCAACCCTGGCTTTCTAACTTGACCCACGCTCGAATACGTGTCAGTTGTAGTATAAAGTATTATTAGTACAAAATAAGTGGATGGACTTATCACTGTGTACAGTATATACCTGTTTTTGCTTTGAGTAAGCATCACAACTGAGTTTGCATAACTGTGCATTAAACGACACAAACCAGCCCATATACAGTATCCTTTACTTTTCACTGTTTGTGCTTCCTTACTCAAACACATCTCACACAGAGATGAGGGAAGCAGTGTGGGGCACTTTCATTTTTACTGAGCTGTTGACAATGTAACGTCAATGCATACAAGTTCTGCCCTACCTGTCCCTTGCAAAGCTGGGTGTAGCTATACATGAGAACAAGTGTACACATGACTAGGAAGCGATGTCGTGCATGTATGGCAATTCAGTTATTGAGTTCCATCCACAGAACACAACCATCTTGCTCCTCCCTGCTTAGCATGCGCACCGCAACACCTGACACCAATGTAAAGCAAAGGCAGGGCACATATTACTACATGCAGATTCCCAGCCCTCCCAGTATAATAGTAAGTTGAATTGCTGTGGGGAGACTGGGGAAGGTGTGTGGTAGCAACTTTCAAAATAAGACTCCTATCAAAAAGGAAAGAACAAATCCCATGCATTTAAGTGGCTCACAGACCTGATTCCACCTCGTAATACATACCACTGAGATGAAATTGCTGGCAATTACTATTATAAAGCATCCTTCCTATAGAGCTCGTGAGAATATTAATACACTAACAAACTTTGTGTGGGAATTTTCTCTGGAGCTCACATAATCACCCCCTCCCCCGACATTCATCCCTAAAGCTCGATAATAAAGACCTTGTATACAATCAGTTTGTACTGTGACATGCATCATAAGCGCAGTGTAAGAACAGAATGTAAAATACAAATGTGGATATTTTTTAAACTTGTTGTCATGAACATGTGGTAGCCCAGGGGGTCAGAGGTAATCCTGTATGACACGGTTTGACTCAGTCGACTGCTGCACATGTGCTCATGTCATGTACTTTAGTGCAGTACATTAGTATAGTAATGCACACTGGTGCACTTTGCGGTTTGTTGTTACCGCCCTTTGCTGTGTAGTAACACTTCAGCAGTCATGTGTACATACACAGCTTTTACACTAATGCACATGTGACTGTGCATCATCACCGGTCTAAATGGATTGCATAACAGCTATATTCTCACTTCAACTGGAGCACATACCCCAGGCCTGCGCGTGATATTGTGTATTATTACGTTCATTGTAGACTTATAGTGAAAGAGTTTGGGACTGTCATTTCGGCACATGCGCAGAAATCGCAATAGTCTGCATGTTTATTGATAGGTGTGTCCAAAAAACCAGCTTGACCGATGTCATTTGATAAAATGGAGGATCGTGGACAAAAACTGGGAAGCAGGATTCAATGCATGATAATCTGATGTAGCTACACATAAACATGATTTTACCATCACTTCAAAAAAGATTAATGATCACAAATGATCACAGGCAATATGCATGCCATCTGCAGCTGTAGATCAGAGGAATCCCTCTGTAATAATATCACCGATCTGTGGAGAATATAGGCTGGTAAGACTGTAAACGCTCAGGCCAAGTCAGCCTTGACTCTATCTGGTTGGGCTTGGTCGGTGATATTACCACTGGTGTTTTGCGGTCATGTACTTTTGAGCGTGGTTAATACAACTGAGATATTGTTGTCAAAATTAAGTTGCCATGAGCGTAGTCATGATGTGTACTGAAAATACCTGGTGGTTGTACACAGTGACATCGCCAACTATCTAGTCAGCGCATGTTAGAGAATGGAGAGAAGCATGTGCCAAAGTCTCTCGCCACCAGGAACCAGTGGGTGTTTACAGGAGTTAGTGACTTGCTCCGTGCCGTCTTGAAACTGTCCACTCACCCACACTCCCATTCCTGGTGGACTGGGAGGAC